GCCTCAGCCTCAGCCTGCCTCAGCCTCAGCCTGCATCAGCCTCAGCCTCAGCCTCAGCCTGCCTCAGCATCAGCCTGCCTCAGCCTCAGCCTCAGCCTGCCTCAGCCTCAGCTCAGCCTGCTTCAGCCTCAGCCTCAGTCTGCCTTCAGCCTCGGCGTCAGCCTCAGGCTGCCTCAGCCTCAGCCTGCATCAGCCTCAGCCTCAGCCTCAGCCTGCCTCAGCATCAGCCTGCCTCAGCCTCAGCCTAAGCCTGCCTCAGCCTCAGCCTCAGCCTGCTTCAGCCTCAGCCTCAGTCTGCCTTCAGCCTCGGCGTCAGCCTCAGGCTGCCTCAGCCTCAGCCTGCATCAGCCTCAGCCTCAGCCTCAGCCTGCCTCAGCATCAGCCTGCCTCAGCCTCAGCCTCAGCCTGCCTCAGCCTCAGCCTGCTTCCCCTTAGCCTCAGTCCCCTGCTTCAGCCATCGGCCTCAGCTCAGCCGTGCCTCAGCCTCAGCCTTGCCTCAGCCTCAGCATCAGCCCTTCCTCACATTCAAAAGTTCCCGGGAATGAGTTCTGGAACCTCGAAAAAACACGAGTGGCCGTACAGTTGGCTCCGGCATTCAAAATCTGCCCAGAATGGAGTTCTGGGAACTCTAAGACCACGACGTGTCCGACAGCTGGCTCCGGGACTCAAAATCTGCCCATGGCGTTCTGGGAACTCGAAAGACCACGAGTGGCCTACAGTTGGCTCCGGGCATTCAAAATCATGCCCAGGAATGGAGTTCTGGGAACTCGAAGAACACGAAGTGGCCTACAGTTGGCTCCGGGCATTCAAAATCATGCCCAGGAATGGAGTTCTGGGAACTCGAAGACCACGAAGTGCGTTAATGTCGGCTAAAAAAGGAGTTCCCGGTTTCCCGGGGCACCCTGTCCGGATCCCGCCCAGACCTTTTTGGGGAGTCATGATGCTCTCTCTTGAGACCACTGGAAACCTATCAGTCTTCGCTGCTAGGTAACAACAAGAAGAAGAGGAGGAGCAGGAGGAGGAAGAGCAGCGGGAGCAGGAGCAGGAGCACGAGCAGGGGCAGGAGCAGGAGCAGAAGCAGGAGGAGGAGGAGGAGGAGGAGGAGGAGGAGGAGGAGGCGCAGGAGCAGGCGGCGGAGGAGGAGGAGGAGGAGGAGGAGGAGAAGGCGGAGGCGAAGGAGGAGAAGCAGGAGGAGGAGGCGGAGCTGCGACGGTCGGTGACACAACACGTGTTGTTGATATTCAACCTGGTGTCGTGCTTGCACGACCACGTCTGCAGAGTTCAGAGTTCCGACGAGGAGGAGGAGGAGGAGGAGGAGGAGGAGGAGCAGGAGGAGGAGGCGGAGGCGGAGGAGGAGGAGGAGGAGGAGGAGGAGGAAGAGGAGGAGGAGGAGGAGGAGGCAAGAGGAGGAGGCGGAAGAGGAGGTGCGGAGAGGAGGCGGAGCGAAAGGCGAAGAGGAGAGGGGGAAAGGGAGGAGAGGAGGAGAGGAGGCAGAGGGAGGAGGAGGAGGAGGAGGAAGGACGGAGGGAAGAGGAGAGGAGAGGCGCAGTAGGAGGAGGATGAGAGGAGCAGGAGAGGAGGACGAGGAGGAGTGGGAGTGGCGGGAGACAAGGAGGAGGAAGGAGGCGGGAGGAGGAGGCAGCAGCAGGAGAGCAGGAGGAGAAGGAGGAGGAAGAGAGGAGCGGGAAGAGTAGGAGGAGGCGGGAAGGAGGAGGCGGATGAGAGGAGGAGGAGGAGGAAGAGTAGGAGAAAGGAGGAGTAAGAGGAGGAGGAGAAGGCGGAGGAGGAGGAGGAGGAGGAGGAGGAGGAGGAGGAGGAGGAGATAGGATCAGAGGAATGCTCCTCGCTCCTCCCCCCGCTCCTGGAGCCTCGCCTCTGGCCGCGGGCGCCGCCCTGTGGGCGCCCGCGGCCAGTCACGTGCCTCAGGCATGACGCGGCCAGCAGCGCTCGGAGAAGAGCAGTCGGCACGCAGTAGGCACGTCAAATCAGAAAATTGGCCTGCCATCGGGGAACAACAAAAAGGCATACACGCCGGTTATTGAATGTAGGTTTTTTGGGGATATCCAGATCCCATTCTGCTTCAAGCGCCTTCCTACTTCAAGAGTCGGGCGGACTTCCCTCTTCCCTCCTCTTCAGGGGGTGGGCGGAGACCAAATCTACTTCCAACGCATTCCTACTTCATGGTTCGATCCATTTCTTCCGACCAACGGGTAGACATAAACGTTCGGAGGTCCGCGCGGATTTCTCGGATCGGATCTGGAGCCCCCTGGCGTCGCCTCCAGCGCCGATCCAACAAACACGCGCGGACCTCCGAAAGTTGATGGTTCTGTCATCAGTTGTTCATCTATGCCAGCAGGTGCCCCACGGAAGAAACCGTCGAGAGGCTTCCTCCTCCTCCTCCTCCCTCCTCCTCCTCCTCCTCCTCCTCCTCCTCCTCCTCACTCGCCACGAGCATGCCAACAGAGCAACAGTGATGCAAGATGGGCCGGCGGAATGAGCGAAGCGATCAAGTTCGGCGGGCCCCTGCGGGCCCTCGCCGTGTTGAGCTTCGAGAGAAGACGATGAGGCGGAGGATGCTGGAGGACAGCGAGAAGCATGCATAAGGCATGTTATGAAGGGCGTCGCGGACTCCGCCGCTCGATTCTCCTGGGACACATGTAAATACGAGTGGCATGCGCTTCGAAGGCCACGAAGGGCTCAATTCTAGACACCCCTCACGCATTTCCTGCCTCACACTTCTTGGGGACACGTGAAACTCGAGGCCCCTGGGAGACGTAAACACGCGAGGGAAGTGCACTTCGATGTTGATGGGAACCTCAATTCGGCACACCCCTCACGCATTTCGTGAACGTAGGCGCTCAGCTGGCCCCCTTCGATCTGCAACGCGGCACACTCCTCACGCACGTCGTGCCCCATGGACCCCCAACGGCCCTCAGCTAGCTTCCAAGACCGCCTGATTCCCCAAGGAGTAAACAAACATTGCAACGAGTGGTACCGACCCTCGTCGAGGCATTATCCCTAACACGTACTGACTGCAAAATCTGCGTGCAAGCTTCCTCCATGGGGGCCCGCCGTGACTCCCGCCCTGCGGGCTCGATTGGACATTGGCCCATGTACCGGCGGGAGCCCCACGAAGAGTTCTTTATCCCCAGACGGCCCCCGGGGACCCACGGAAGCCCTGGGCCGAGATCCCGTGCCGCACGTGCTCCCCGCGAGGCCAGGCGCCTCGAGGTCCGCGCGGACTCCTCGCACCCCAGACCCCCGACGTAATGATTTTTTCATTACGTCGACCCCCAGAGGTCACGACCCTTTTCCCATGACCGGCTTTGCATCCTGAGTCGTTTTTTGACGCTCCCGAGGCCCGGTGAGGGCCCCTGGAGGCCGAAAATTAGGAAAAACCTCCCGTCATGATTTTTTCATTACTCGAGGGGGTTTGGGAGCGCCGCCCCGCCCGCGCCCCCCGCGCGCCGGGGAGGGCCCCCGGGCGCCTTGGCCGAGAGGAGCCCGCGCGGAGCTCGGCGGGGGCCCGTGCCCCGTGCCGCCTCCGCTGGCCCTCTGGGGCGCGCCCCTCCTCGCACCGGCCGGGGAGCGACGACGACGGCGACGCGGACGACGGCGACGACGACGACGACGACGACCACCACCACCACCACCACCACCACCACCACCACGACGACGACGACGACGACGACGAGGACGACGACGAGGACGACCACGGCCACTGCCTCTTTCCCTCCAGGGCGCGCCCCTCCTCGCACCGGCTCCGCGCGTCGCGGTCGCGCAGGCCCCCCCCCCCCGCGAGGGGGGTGGGATGGCGTGATCCTCACGCGCGCTGGGGTGCGGGCGGCCGAGCATCTCCCACGGCCGCGCGCCGCATGGGGGCGAGGTCGGCCACGCGTGCACGCGCAGAGGGGGGTATGGCGAGGGGGGAGGGGGGAAGGCTGGTTCTCCTCAGCAGAGGTGGGCGCCTTCTAGGAAGCAGCCTCCTTCGAAGAAGCCCTCCCCCTTCCTCTACCCTTCAGGGCCACCACGAGGATGCGAAGCCAGTCGCGCTTCGCGATCTGGGCGATTCCAGAGCGAGGCGCTAGTCCCTCTCCTCGATCCTCCTCCTCCTCTCCTCCTCCTCCTCCTCCTCCTCCTCCTCCTCCTCCTCCTCCTCCTCCGCTCCTCCTCCTCCCCCCCTACCGCCTCCTCGCCCCTTTCCGCCTCCTCCCCCTCCTCCCTCCTCGCTCCTCCCCCTCCTCCTCCTCCTCCTCCTCCTCCCCCCCTCCTCCTCCTCCCTCCTCCTCCTCCTCCTCCGTCCTCCTCCTCCTCCTCCTCCTCCTCCTCCTCCTCCTCCTCCTCCTCCCTCCTCCTCCCCAATGGGGCGGCGGCGCGAAAGCGCGACGACAGTCGCCTGCTACCCCCTTGCGCGCGCCGCCAGCGAGAGGCGATGGGGAGGGTAGCCGGCGGCCCTCCGACGGGCGCCCTGCCGCCCGCCCGAGGAGGGCCGAGGGGCCGATGCCCCCCGAAGAGCCCCCCGGGCTTCCGATTCCTCCTCCTGGTGCCTGGAGGCCTTCTTCTATTCTCCTCCTCCTCCTCCTCCTCCTCCTCCTCCTTCCTCCTCCTCCTCCCTCCTCCTCCTCCCCCCTCCTCCTCCTCCTCCTCCTCCTCCTCCTCCCTCCTCCTCCTCCTCCTCCTCCTCCTCCTCCTCCTCCTTCCTCCTCCTCCTTCCTCCTCCTCCTCCTCCTCCTCCTCCCCCCTCCTGCGCCTCCTCCTCCTCCTCCTCCTCCTCCTCCTCCTCGGCGATTCGGCGAGCGAGACACGGAGCTCGGAGACCGAGGGGCCGAGAGGCCGAGGCTCCGATGCACGTCGAAGCGTCCCCCCTGTTGCTTCGGAGAGGGGCACCCAGGCCCCAGCCCCGCGGATGAGCGAGAAGCCATGAGCACGATGCGCTCCAAGATCTCCAGCTCTCCCTGCGGCCCCCCACGGCCAGAGAGGACGAGGAATGGCCGAGGGCC